CGCACACACACATGTACGCACACACACATGCACGTACACACACATGCGATGAGATAGAGACAAAGATGGAGGGAAAGAGAAGAGGTTGCTGGGCTTCCTTCTGGGAGCAAAACTACTATCTGTCATACTGCATTCAATGGATACAAGTAAGAAATCTATGTTCCTCTCCTCCCTCTCATTTACAGTCCAGGTTTCCCAGCCCTCTTCTCGGTCTTTTTAGGAATAGAAGTGAATGGGAGAGATTACCAACCAACCATGGATAGCTCGACCATGACACGCTGGTCCAATAAGCTTAGACCATGGACAGCAGTTTCCACCCACCTTCCCAAGAAATACCTTCACGAACTCCTCACACTTCCCTCTCCCTTGACAATCATTAAGTATACAGTCGCCCAGCAGCACCTATTCCCTCGCCTTTGACCTCCTACCAGCAGCTCTTCTTCCCTCGAATTTACCTCTTCTCCATTCACAAGACTCATTTCTTACTTTGACTGTCACTTTCTCTGCCTGCTCCGTTCTTCTCGGGCAAGCACCACCCTCCAACCACCACTACTAGTACTAGTACAAATACTGCCGCTGCTGCCACTACTATCCTTCTTTCCTCGTCCTCACCACTTCATCCTCCTCCTCTTCCATCTCCTCCACCACCTCCTCTTCCTCTTCCTCTTCCTCTTCCTCCCCTCCTCAACCTACTCCTCTTTTTCTTCTTCTTCTTCTTCTTTTTCTTCTGCTGCTGCTGCTACAGCTCCTGCTATTTTTTCTCCTCCTCCTCCTCTTCTACCTCCTTCCCCTCGCCGTCCCCTCCTCCTCCTCCTTCTCCTAGCCCCCTTCTTCCATTCGCGTTGCCCACGTTCCTGGGCCTTCTGCTTTCTCCTGTGCTATCCGTTAGTCCAGTCCTCCTTGTCCTGCAGTGTCAGCCTGTGTGTGGCAGTCTTCCTCCCCCTTCCTCTCCCCCGTGGCACCTCCATTGCACAACAGCACGCAGTATAGTGGTGATATATCTGCAAATGCTGTCAATATTCTGCCTGATGCCAGCACTCAGTATAGTGGTCGTGCTAATGCAACGACCTATTAGCATCAGTGATTCAGCGGTTGAATCTGCTGAGACATCGGACTGAGAACTGACGACATCCGTGTTCTTGGTCTGAGAAAAAAAGCATGTTCTTCTGAGTATTTTGCAGTGTGCATGTCAGGGGTAAGTCGGAAATTTGGCATGGCGGACATGCGAGTATGCAGTTGTGAAGGTTACAGGGACGTACCTTAAATTTCTTAGGGATCCAGCTGGGATTTTTCAGCAAGTCTGTGGTAGGACTGAAGGTCATCAGGCCTGGAATAGGTAGCAGTTCGGTAGCTGTCCAGGACTGCACGAAACCGGGCAAGTTTAGGATCAGATTCTTCCAGCACTGGGTGTATTACGCAGAAAAAATGTCATCAAAATTTTATTACCAAACTGTGCAGTGGTAGACCCTAGGGTCAGCCGGTCAAGTGTCCTGGAGGCCGATCAAGCATAGCAACCGCGATAGAAGTATGTGGATGTTTGATATGCGAGCCTCTTCTTTCCATTTATGTTCTTTGTTTTCCTCTTCTTGCCCCGTCAGCCTCTTTCTTTTGTCTTTAGGATAATCTACTGGCCTCCTTGAGTGAGGACAAGGCCCTATTGCTGGTATGTCCGTACAGCTCAGGCCCCACCAGTGACATKTTATCGGGCACAGACATSCACATACCCCCCCCCCMCWVCCCCCCCCCCCCCCACACACACACACACACTCACAGAGAGAGAGAGAAACCCCCAGTTGGTGAAAAAAAACAACATAGGGACTTCTGGGTTCAAAAAAGAGGGGGATTAGTTTCTTACTTATGTCTCAGCAACACATTTTGCTGAAGAATCTGAACATTTGTCTTCGGCTTCCGTAGTGCGTAGAGTTTTTGCAGCAAGAACTCCCTGCTCTGTAAAACAATACAGCAGCAACACCCACTTCAGTTAATGATTGGGGTTATAATAAAGGACATGCATACAAATATACATTGTCACATATCTATCAACTAAAATAGTGACCTTTATGAAACATATGAAGAAAACAGTGGGCAGGATGAGGCGCACCAAAGCCGTTCTTTTTCCTTTTTCCTGCGCAGTGCTTTCTTTTTTCATTTCTTTTTTTTTATTTTTTTATTTTTTTCTTTACTAAAGGAGGATTTCAGTCCTTTGTAGAGGAAAATGACCTTAAAACTTGAGATGGAATGCGTTCAGGTTCACGAGACATCTTCACATCCTTCCCGATCCTGATGACCTCGTGGAAGGATGTGAAAACATCTCGTGGAAGGATGTAAAATCATCCTTTAGTAGCTCAGCCCAGCCCGCTGGAATGCTCTGTATTATCTTTTGTAGACTTTCATCCCTGTGGTGGCAGCCTTTCAGTCGAGTTCAGGTCCACGAGACGTCTTCACATCCTTCCCGATCCTGGTGACCAAGCCAGATGAACCGAACATTCAGAATATCAATCCTGAAAGAGTAGTACTGAATGCGTTTACACTCGTTAAAATAAGAACATTAGGATTCTGGCCAAAACAGATATTGCAAATAGGGACAGCAATTCAAGACCTCGAGTTTGATCCCTCCAAATGGGCATGGGCCCCCCGACCGAAATGGAACAACCAAACCACCAATGCCAATATATGATTATACAGTTAAGCTGGGTTACAAGATGCTATTAAAAACGAAGTACCCAGACCCAACAATCAAAGGAAGACGGAGCAAGTTAATTGGTTCGGAGGCAGACCAGATAGCAAAAATCCCATGGAATAAGAAGATTGCAGTGGCTCATAACATGCGTTGCTCTACCAGTTAACCAATGGCTACATGTCAGAAGAAGAAAGGACGATCCAACCAGCTCTGATGTCTGTGCAGTCTGCTCAGATCAAGAACAGGAAGATGTGATACATTGCCCAATTAACTGTAAAGAAGCCACAGAGTATTGGGCAAGAGCAGCAGCACTATGGGATAGTCTATTCTCGTCTCCCCTCCCACAACATCAGGCCCATGAGACGTCTTCACATCCTTCCACAAGGTCATCAGGATCGGGAAGGATGTGAAGACATCTCGTGGACCTGAACGCATTCCATCTCGAGTTTTAAGCTCATTTTCGTCTACAAAGGACTGAAATCCTCCTTTAGTAGCTCAGCCCAGCCCCCTGGAATGCTCTGTATTACCTTTTGTAGACTTTCATCCCTGTGGTGGCAGCCTTTCAGTCCAGTTTTAAGCTCATTTTCGTCCAACCAGTTGTCCCCTACTCGCCAGACACAATGTTCGATCCATGACAGCCACATGTTGCCTCTGTGGGAGAGTGTCCACGGGTGGTCACCCTTGTCTCTGATCCAGGGGTTTCCAAATAGAGGTTGCACAGTTCTTTCTCTTCTTTCTTTTCTTTTGGCTTTTTTTTTTCTTTTTTTCTTTTTTTTAATGGTCCAGCATTGTTGCACCCCCCGACGGTCGGCGGCCCTTGACTGTCGGCTGCCGACCCGCCGACCGATCGGCTGGTCGGCACCTACCGGTCGGGGGCCGTCGGCACCCCGCAAAAAAAATAAAAATAAAATAATATGTATATATATAGTCAAACAGAGCTGCCCTGTAAACCGTAGGCAGAGAGGGAGAAGAGGACAACAAACGAGGGGCTGTGGCAAACTGTTTCGTCGGAGTTTGACTGTTACATGCCCAGTTGGGCGATGTACATGTAAAACCGAGGATCCGCAATGTGATAAAAAGGACTAAATGGACACTGCAATGCAAGTGGAATCTCAACAAGCAATGTGCATTTCGATACATACAGAATGGTGCTTGATAGCGCAGGGAAGACTCAGATACAGATCCTGACCTGACCGGGACTGACCTCTTTCACGTAGTACAAGATAGCGAAGCAGAATGCTAGAATAGTAATGACTAGCCCAATCAATGTTTCAACGCAGACCAAACATACATCATGCTCATCACAAAGTGTGATGGAGCCTGGCGCTATACACCGGAAAGAGACGCCAGGTCCAGACATACACAGACGAAGAGGAAGGGATCAGACGAAGAAGAGGAAGGGGGAGACGGGAAAGTCGTCAACACCAAGTCTCGTTACAAGTCCCAAATAGTCCCTCTTCAAAATGTCTGAAGTCCCATGTCGAGTCTGGATCCAATGTCACCAAGCTCTCTCTCTCTCTCTCTCTCTCTCTCTCTCTCTCTCTCTCTCTCTCTCTCTCTCTCTCTCTCTCT